GCGCGCGTGACATTTTCTTTATCCAATCATCTGTCGATGGACATTTAGATTGCTATTGTAAATAGTGCTGCCATGAACACCTATGACTCCTTTCTGAGGAAGGTTTTCCTGGCCACAGCAAAGAGAACAATTGGCTTATTCTGGAAAAGCCAAAAAGCTGGAGAGTTAATGACCCCAGGAGCATCCCTCAGCCAGTGAAGAGTAGGAATCTGAAGTATAAACACTCAGCATCTCCACGGCTCAGCTGGGACAGCTGTGGCTCATGCTCCCATGGTCTCCTGGACTTCCCCACCAGACGTGAGCTTCAGCTGTTCACGGTGGTGACCAGTCGGATGATGACACACCCTTTCCTGGCTTCACTCCTCTCCCTGTCTCACTGCCCCATTTCTCCAGAACCCTGAGTTCACCTCCATCATTAACTACTTGGATCCTCAGCCTTGAATCAGGGTCTGTGCCTGGGGCAACCCAAACTAAGACATTATCTTTAGTCCTTATTCTTTTTTGAATTGGTAATTTTTATTCAATACACTGAGATACAGATCCCTAGCTGCTACTTCCACAGAAAGAGAAGCTTCAGCAAAACCACAAGCTCAGAAAATCACCACAATGATTCGTGTATTTATTTTAAAGTGTGAGGATGTTACCCTGACGAACACCTCTAATGTGGGAGGATTCTTTAAGCCAAGGGAATAACTTTCTGCAGAAAGCTATTTGAGTAGATTCTAGGAGTAAATGAGAGAGCAGCTTCCTATCTTTTTTTCCCATTTACTACTCTGCATTTATCTTTTTCAATAGGTACAATTTCTTGAATTTTATATTCTTGTTCAAAAAAAATGAACCTGCTGGTTATATTCAACATATATCACCAACATATCAAAATTAGTATTTATTTGGCATGTTTCATGCACTCAGCATTAACTTTTTATAAACCATCCTATAATCCATAGCATGTCACTCTGTTGCAAAGATAAGCCTTCAAACCTGTGAAAAATTTTAAGGAAAGCATGAAAAAGTGTTGAAGCATGAAATTGCATGGTAATTAAAAGACTTATGTAGAAACTCTTCTAAATGCCAAGTGCTATAAAACAGTAATAGTTCTAATGGAAGAAAGGTGGAAACAAATAAAATGATACATAGAAATGTCTTGGTCCCAGGACCCCATATCAGAGATAAATCCTTAAACCAACCACCTAGGGCCCCGAATTCTTCTGTATGTTCTTAAGTGGTTTGGAGGAAACAGCATTGATATTCCACTTGGTTATCAATAATTCATTCATTTCATCAGTCCACCAACTTGTTGAGCATCCCCCAAATATACAGCAGTGAACAGGGCAAAATTCTTGCCCTCACCCAGTTTGCATTCTAAGAGGACAAACAGTAAGTCAACAACTAAACAGGCACATTTATAGTATGATTCCAAGTACTGGAATGCTGACAAAAAATAAAGCAGGCACAGTAGGGTTAGAGAATAATGGAGAAGTAATTATTTTAGACCAGGCAATCAGGGATGGCTTTTCTGAGGAGTTGTCATTTGAACAAGAGGAGCCAGCTCTGCAAAGACTGAGACCAGGCTATTTCAGGCAGAGGAACTAGCCAATGCAAAGGCCGTGAGGTAGGGATAAGCTTATCATGTTAAAGGGAAAATAAAACCATGATGAGTAAGTCAAAAGGGTATCATAGAAGATGAAGGGAGAGAGATAGGCAGGAACCAGAAACTACCAAACTCATACACTTGTACTTTAGATTTGATTCTGAGGGGTAGAAAACCACTGGAACACTGAAAATAACACTTTGGCTACTGTGTGGGAAACAGACTATAAGGTACAGAAGTGAAAGCAAGAAAATCAGTTAGGAGACTAGTCAAGTGAGAGATGACGATGGTTAGAAGTGGGAGAGTTTGGGTGAGGAAAAAGAAGAATAAAGGATTGCTCCTTTTTTTTAAAAAAATTAAATAGCAACATGAATGATGGTATCAATTACTGAGGTAGGGTCAACGGGCAAAATGAAGGTTGCGGATGGGGGCAGAGGTCAAGAATCCTACTGGGGGCATGTTGCCAATGATAATTCCCAACGGAGGCAGTTGGATGGAACAGATCAAAGTTCAGGGTGGAGTCTGGGCTGGAGACACAAACTGGAGGTCATTAGCACCGAACGGTATTTCAACTTCGGGCTTGGGAGCAGGATAGGAAGAGAAGAGGCCTGAGGACAGAGCCCTAGAATATTCATACATTCAGAACTTAAAAGGAGAAAGGGAGACTAGGAAAGAGGTCCGAAAAGCATCAGCCCATGACATAGGAAGAAAGTTGGGGAAGTTCTTTAGATCTATTTGCAGCAGTTTCCACCTGAACAAAAAAACTCAGAGTCTCATTACTTGTGGAGGTAGAAAGACAATGATCTCTTCAGGGGTCCAGCCACAAAAACTGATGGCCAAATGGGCAGCAGTTGTAAAAGCAGGAAGAATAAGGAGGGCTTTTGATCACAGTCTCCCAGCGACAGTTAGAAGATTGAGAAAAGGCAGGCAAAGAAGAAAGCATGCATCTACTCTCCCAGCTTTCCAGAGTGAGAGCATACGGCTCTTGATGAAAGACAAAGAAAGACTCAGAAGCCAGAGGAGGTGGCTCCACGGCAGATGCCGTGAAATGCTGAGCACAGAGAGCACTGCTTAGGGCCCAGGTGACCAGAGAGCAGACTGCACAGGGGTATGCCGGGAACCTAGACTTTTGACACAGACACAGGCAATCTCATGGAGGGCAAAACACTGTTGTTGTGACACCTCTTAAGCACTCGACATGCTTGTGACACAACTCTAGAGCTCACTCAGTTCTTCTCCAGGATATTTTGTTCCCACTGGACACACAGCCCAACCAGCTCCGTCACACTCATGCTCCCCCTACTGGCGGTGGCGAGTTCAGAGAGCACTGACCTGTGTTGAAGAAGGATCCAGTCCATTCCCCCTCGGTTTTAGGAAATACAGAAACTGGTGGAGGTAGACCCAGGGCTCTCCCATCCAGATCCTTAAAGAGATATCTTCTGGGGCTTTCGCAATCTGGTTCAGAGCAGATCAGTGTTTCTAAATCTTTCCTGCGAAGACAGAGAGAAAGCAATTCTCATTTCTATGATGAGCAGAGAAAAGGAAGTATAGATTGGTAGCGCTGACCTTAGGAAAAATAAATTCAAGAGAATTTTATTATTAACAATATGTTATATAGATAAGAAAGAAAACTCTATAGAAAATGTCATTTCCAAGTTATATGGTCAAGGAAGAAAAGACACTTGTTAACCAAATATTCTGAATATCTAGATAGGTAATCTTTACACAGATTGTTAACCTTCTAAGATGTAAGATACAATAAAATGTTCCTAACTCTAATATCTACTAAACATGATGTAATCATTGCTTTACGGAACTTTCAGGCCTTGCAGTCTTCTAAGATTATCATCATAATATCAATTATATTTGTGCTACATGTAAACAAGGTAAAAAAATATGTTCTCATTGAACAAATATCTTGAAAGTCTACTGCTTGTAGATTGGGGAATACAGTGGTGATACAAATAGACATTGTTCCTTATACATTCATAATTTAGGGTATGTACACAAATTATTTGCAATTAAAACATTGAATTCGAGAGAATTTACCTGATTTCCACTGGTCTAATATTTTAGGTACCATTAGCTCTAATATTAAGTATTTACTACATGCCAATATGTGTCAGGTATTAATAGTATGAAGAATCAGATGCTAATACCATTTAGCTTTACAACTATTTGATCCCATAAGTAAGACATGAACATAAGGGAAATTGGACAGTAGAAAAAAGGTGACAGAATAACACAAATTGTGTACCTAATAATGTTTAGGTTCCAAAAATGATTCAGGGATAGTCACCAAAAAGAGATTGGTGTTGGACCAAACAAATAAACTTTCTTTTTTTTAATTGAAGTATAGTCAGTTTACAATGATGTGTCAATTTCTGGTGTACAGCATGATGTTTCAGTCATCCATATAAATACACAAGTTCTTTTTTCCAGCTTCTTTTCCATTATAGGTTATTATAAGATATATAAATATATTCAATATCTTGTAGTAGCTTATGATGAGAAAGAATATGAAAATGAATATATATCCATGTATGACTGAAGCATTGTGCTGTACACCAGATATTGACACAACATTGTAAACTGATTATACCTCAATAAAAAAAAAGATATTGAATACAGTTCCCTGTGCTACACAGTTGGACCTTGTTGTTTATCTATTTTATATACAGTAGTGTGCATCTACTATTCCCAAACTCCTAATTTATCTCCCACCCTTTCCCCTTTGGTAATCATAAAAACATTTTCTATGTCTGTGAGTCTGTTTCTGTTTTGTAAATAAGTTCATTTGTGTCTTTTTTTTTTTTTAGATTCCACATATGAGTGACATCATGTGGTATTTTTCTTTTTCTTTCTGGCTTATTCACTTATAATGATGACATTAGAGTGATTATTCCTGATTCTTTTCTTCCAACTTAAGACATTTTCCCCAGTGTTACAGGGGAGGAAAAAGTAACCCGTTCTTCCTGCTTCTAACTTTCCGACTTCCTCTAATGGCAAAAAGAATTCCTTGTCTAGTTTTTGGATTCTTGAATAAAACTTGCAGCTTGCATGTTCAAGAACAGGAGTTACACCTGCTCCGGGGGCAAACATCTGTCTAAGCCACATCGTTCATTATTCCTGACGGCGAACATGGTCTCCTTCTATCCACTAGTCCCTGCACAAGGGCTCCCAAGCCTTCTTCTGAAGACTAGTGACACCACACTTCATGGAAGATTCAGGAATTAGCGTCAATTTTTTTCCATGGATTTTGAAAATGTCCCAAAGAAGTACCTCTAATAATGACAGAACAATTAAACAATACCAGTACAACTTGCACCCCATCACTTCCCCATTTGTTAGCCAGAAGATGTCACACAGTGAATCCCAGATCCAAGGGAGAGAGCCTCCACCTTGTTAGTGAGAGAAGTTGCAAAAATCATATATCAAAGGGCATGAATGTAGAAGGGTAAAGAATTGGAGCCAATCAATCCACCATGTCTTCCTAAAAGGACTTACTTCTACTCTCACCGATGATTTTATCCTTTAAAAAAAACCTGTTTAGGTATTTGGAGAATGACCACATACTTCCTAAATATGGCTCATTATAGATATCAAAACTGGTACCTGGTTTGTAAAGGAGGAAAGTAGAATTTGTTTTTATCTTTGATCTTTCGCATCCTGGTCCTCTCTGCTGTTATTGGATGCACGATTCCAGTGTTCTCTGCATTGGGCAGGATACAGACATCTAGATCATCGCTATAGCAACTCTTCAGAAAACTAGAAAAGGTCACATCTGAAAAAAAAAATTCAAGGTATCGTAACATTAGATCATATCACTACCAACCACAAATATCGACTACACAACCAAAAGTTCTTATACTAACGTATCTCCAGGGTAGTTCCAGGAGTTTACGTTGATCTTGACTTAAGATATCTTTCATTCTTGAATTCAACACACTGAAGTCTTGAGACCAATACTTACCATCAAAGTTTGATCAAGATCCAGTGGGGAGTGAGTACAACAGTAACAGAAGAGACCTTACAGAGGACTCTTTGCATAGGCTGTAGTATAACTGAACTTAATCCTCGCTGCCCCACCAACTACTTAACCTCAGTGAGGCACAACTTCTGAGTCTCAGCGTCCTCCTCTGTGTAATAGGAAAAATAACACCTACCATACGAGATTAGTCATATAATCCAATTAAATAATGGCTGTAAATTTCTTCAACATATATAAAGCAATGGCTTTTTAAAGGAATCGCTCACTGTCATCATAAACCACCATGGTGGTTACCAGTACCCAGCAGGTGGTCCACTGAACAAGTACTGGACTACACGGTCCGGTGGATATAATTTCAAAACACTATTAAAGATGCTAAGCACAGACATATGAAACAACATTGCTTGGAAACCCGAACATCCTACCTTGAAGTTTTATGATGCCTGAAATGGAACGGCCACTCCTCACTTTGTGCCACGACTCCCGAGGCCACTGATGTGGTTCAGAGGTGAACACAGGCCACAAAAGACCAACTCGACCCCCTCTGGGATTGGAAGGAGCTCGATCCGCCGAGGTCACGTTGGCAGAGCGGGGCTTGACTCTGTCCTGAATGCAGTCAAAAGATGAGCTTGTGGCCACAAGGACTGAATTCCTCAGCACAATCTGTATGTTTCTGATGTAACACTGTGGAGCAGAAGACACATACACTGCTGCCCAAAGGCCAACAGTATTGTCCACCAGAGTGATGTTCTCTACTTCCACGCTGTTCTGCACACGCAGCATGGCACCATAGTCAAAGTTCTTGAAAGCCAAGAAGCCAGAGACACTGGTACAGTTGTCAGGTCCACACTCCTGATAGAGATGAAGGCCATGAAGACATGAGTGCGCCACGTTGTCAGACCAAAGAGCTTCGGGAGAGGAGCACCTGTGGCCCCGGATGTGAAACCCAAGTCTCTCTGACCCTGCCACAACGTTGCCATGGAGGTGGACGTCCTTGGCCTGATTCACTTTGATTCCTGCCACCCACACAGTAGACCATGCTGACTGTGTCATGAGAACCACAAGGTTATTGGAGAGAGAACAGTCCTGACCCTCCAAATCAATGCCATGGCCCACTGTGCCAAACACTAGATTGTCATTTAAAATGATCCCACGACTGGCCGCTGCACGAATGCCCCCACCGCAGCTTTGGTGCAGAGTCGAAGATATTATCCAGGATCCTGCCGACACGTTGGTGAGGTCGATGGATGAATACAACGGCGACCCCAAGTTCCGAATTTCCACATTGAAAAGTTGAAGGACACCTGCAAGCCAAACACATTAAAAGGCAATAGTTTATTTCCAGCGCCAGCACTATCCCGCACACCACTGAGTCTCACCAACAAAATAAGAATCATTAAAAATATCACACTGCGGCCTGAGAAAGTTTCCTGTGCCTTCTGAAGAGCCTGGTGACAGGATGGGGGAGAGGAAAGAGACACAGGAAAGAGATAGGCTTTGCAGATGAGCACACTAGCTTAAAGATGCTGTGCACCTGTCTGCAGGGCTGGGTCAAGGGACCGGCTAAGAAAGAAGGGAATGGGGGCCACTCACCTCAAAATCAAGTCTCCTCTCAGTAACCCCATGTGGAAAGGCCATACCATCCCCATAAAGATACTATATGAATGAAAATAATGGCCAACTACACACAATATTTTAAACCTTTTTAAGAGGAGTTTAAGTGCAAAACTTCTGCTCAATTTATGTCCAGAAACATGATATTCAATACATGCTTCCTGATTAAGACATAATAGAAGCAGTAACATATTTTAAGTGACTTTAAAGAGTAAATTTTTTCTCTATTTCTAATCCTAGCCACGCTATATTTCCTGTTTCATTTTCATAAATAATAGGATTTTTTACATTTTTTTATGTCAAGAGAGGACAGCAAATTACTTAGTCTCACTGGGAATTTTATTTATCCTATTTTAAGCAGATATTGTTAAAACAGTGTAAAATACAGCCACTAGATTGATTTAAAAATATAATGAGCACTAATTTATCAGTGTATATACTCTTGATAAAATAGAAAATAACATGAGTATAGAGGGAAAGTAAAGTGAATTAATAAATATAACACCTAACTCTAAAAAGCACTCATTGTGAATCATGCATTATATTTAGTCATATGTGTCTACATATCTCTACATACATATATATGCATTCTATTTTTATTGAAGTACAATCAGTTACAATGTGTCAATCTCTGGTGTACAGCATCATGTCCCAGTCATGCATATATGTACATATATTTGTTTTCATATTCTTTTTAATTAAAGGTTATTACAAGATATTGAATACAGATCCCTGTGCTATACAGAAGAAACTTTTAATCTATTTTTATACATAGTGGCTAACAATTGCAAATCTCAAACTCCCAAATTCATCCCTTCCCACCCCCTTTCCCCAATAACCATAAGATTGTTTACTATGTCTGCAAGTCTGTTTCTGTTTTGTAGATGAGTTCACAGTGTCCTTTTTTCCCCTCTTTATTTTTTAGATTCCACATATGAGTGATAACACATATGACTGATAATTTTTGTAAAACTCCTACAAGATAGGTGCAGTGATTATCCCCATTTTACAGATAGAAAAACTGAGGCAGAGAAGCGGTAAGTAACACGCTGGGACTTGGACCTAGGCGCACAGATGCAGAGGCTGTGTGGTTAACTCACACACAAGCACAGCGGGGAAGAGTGTGGGACACAATGGAGTCAAAGACACAGCTTTGCACTGAGATTCCAGTGACTGGGCTACAGTCCTGTGCCAACAGATCTTAGTGGCCACTTCTTTTCTTTCTTCTTTTTATTTTTTTAAGGTACTGTCCAAGGTAAACTATAAAGTTATTTCCCTCAATAAAAACAGAGGGAGCTGTGGTGTTTTAGTAACAGTATTTCAAACTCCAAGACGGTTGGTCCACCCTTACTCCTCCACCTTCCCCCTTCCCCACCCCATTTTCACAGATGAGAAACCTGAACCCTTGCAAATCAGTGACCAGAGGGAACCAGGCTGCTGCAAGGGGGGCGGATGAGGTATGTATGTCTTTCTTTGTGGTCAGACAACAGAATTCCAATAGATCCAAATTCCTCAAAGGACATTGATTCAGGAGACACTGGTAGACGGTGTGGAAATGTTCACAGAACGATAAAACATCCAAAAACTATTTGTCTGGCGATAACACTTTGGACGTAATCTGAAGTATCCTTCGCCAGCAGCACACAGCTGAAAGGGCTCGTAGGGCCTGCCCTCCAGGAACTCCGGCACAAAGGGCGCCAGTGCTGGTGTGAGTCCACACGCAAAAGCTTATCTCTCAGAATGGAACATGGTTCTAGAATCTCAGCCAAGGCCATGCATCATTCTTATTTTACTTAGTGTGTTTCCTTTTTTTTTTTTTTAATGTCGTACTTGCATGGTTAAAATTCAGTTTTAAATTGTCCAAGATCTTTTGACTTGTGTGCATATTAAATCAACCATTACAAACTAATCAAGTGTAAATACTTAAAATGTCTTGAGCATTTAAATGGAGAATTAAGCAACGATTTTGTTCACCACTCTTCTCTTAATTTTCCTTCGGTTCATCACAGTTCTGAGTACACCTTGCTGGATATTACTGGTCAGAAGGAGGAGAACGACACAGGTCTCTGATTTAGAAGCAAGAAGTGTAAATCCCTGCATTTCTGCCCTATAACCGTTCAACCCGTAGCTGGCAACCTTGTCCTACAGCTGCAAATCCTACCTCATCCAGGCTCTGGAATATGGTACAGAAAATTGTAAGGGTTCTTAATACAGTGCGGGGATCTGGATTGCATTCTGGAACAGAAAACGGACATTCGTGGAGAAACACGCAGAATCTCAACAATGTCTCATGTTCAGTCAATAGTCATGCACCAATGTTCATTTATTGGTTTTCACAAGCATCTCAGAGTTGTGTCAGATATTCACAAAAGGGAAACCAAGTGAAAGGTACACAGGAATTCTTCATACTCCCTTCGCAACTTTAAAAAAAAATCTAAAGTGATTATAAAATTGCAAATTTAACTAGGGTTTCAGAATCAGGGTTGAATTTGAAGGCTACCTCCACCGCTTGGTAGCTGGATGACTTTTCCTACTCTTCGTTTATTAATTCATCCACATTTATTGAGCACTCAATACCCAGCACTTACTCTACTAGGACAAGAGGGCTGAGAGCCCCAACCTTACCCTCAAGAAGTTCACAAGCTCATAACAAAGTTTTACAAATAAGCAGGCAACTTTATGATAGACTCTGTTTCCATCCACAAAAAAAGAGGATAAAATGTCCCTCTAACAAGGATATTAGGATTAAATGAAATAAAACAGGTGTGAGAAGGAGCATGGTTCCTGATCCACAAAGAAGCATCCGATACAGATTCCCTTTCCCTTCCCCGGGGACGACCTAAGAGCCATAACCAGCAGGCTGGAGGCTCAGGCCCGAGTCCGGCCTGCAGGTGGTTCACCTCTGGCTCTGATGCTCCGCTCTGAGAACTGACCTTCTCTCCTGCTCCTGTGACCAGGCTCCTGCCTGGTTTCTTGCAGTTTCCGTGAAAAGGGGCCCTGTCTTGCGCTCCCTCTCTAACCCTCCATCTTCATAAACTACTGGGTAGTTGTGTCTTTATGCATCCAGAACTCAGCCTCTGTCTCAGCCTTCCAGAACAGGGTTCCGCCACCTCCACGCAGACATTTTGGACCAGATCATCCTTTCTGGTGGGAGGCTGTCCTGTGCATTGTACGATGCTGAGCATCTCCCCCTGGATGCCAGAAGCTCTGCTAAAGTTGTGACAAGCAAAAATGTCTCCAGATACTGCCAAATGTCCTTTGGAAGGAAGGGCCAAGCAAAAGCACTTCTGTTGAGGACAGATGGAGCGAGGCTCATGGAGAGAGAGCTTGTTCTAAGGACCAGAAATCCTGAACCTTTGATTTAAGGTCCAAACACTGCCCTTTACCATACTGGTAAAACAGAAGTGCCCACCAAAAGTGTCCTACGCTCAAATATTTGGGAAGTGGTTAGGT